ATCTAAAGATGCTGTATGGAACATTTGATTGGTTACGGAGTATCTAAAGATCTATGCCTGTGTTTTCTATTGGTCGCGGCGGTCGCGGCCATTTATTTCAAAACTGGTGACGTTCAGGGAGGGGGGGGGGGAGCTGGTTCGGACGTGAACCATAGCGGACGTTACCATAGGTAACGTGTATCGTTACCGAGCGAACGAACGTAGTTGACGTCAATTTTCTCAGGGGGCGCATTTGTCTCTGAGCTAGAAGACTCGGATGGCCGCTCTCACGCTTACCGTCAGAAAAGTGTTTAGGATATTTTTTATTTCACGAATAATTTTTACGAATTTGTAAATAAAAGATAACGGTCTAAATGTGAATACAATTTTTCTTAAATGTCCCTAAAATATTAAATAGTATTTGGTGTACTTAACATATTTAACAAGATGTCTCGATGTATTCTAATTGTTTTCAATTATACTACGTCGGCAGGAGAATCTAATGAATAATAAATATTTACAGGGGCACCAGTTGCACCGTTGTTTCTCCCACGAGAGAATTGTCCATGCGAACTTTCGGAGTCTTGAAAGAATGTTGAAGTATCATCCTCACACGTACGGTCTGCTGACGGGTGCTGCCAGCAGGTAGATCGAAGCGCAAAAGCTCAAGAAGGGAATTAACAACAACACTGTCGTGGCGACGCTGGCGCGATTGTTAGATCATTTGCAAAATATACCTGATCTCTTATACAACGACCGTCAATGCCTGATCATCGATGAGGTGGATCGTATTCTGAATATTGAAAGAAAAGTTGCAGCAAATCGTCAACATCCTTTCCAGTAACTGTCACGCTGTGTATTGAAAGCAAATTGTTTTTCTTCCCATTACTATGTGAATTATTGTTATAGAATGTCGGTAAACTATGCTCTTCAGTGTGATGCAGACGCAGAAGGTAGTGATGATAACATCGTTGGCGCTCAAGAAGGAGCCTAGATACATGGGAGTCGACGACAACATGGAGATGGCAATCGTGGAGGACTTGCAAAAGGATTACGTGCGAGCGAGAAAAGATTTCTACGTCAGTTGACGTTCTTAAAGAAAAATAGAAAGAAGAAGATGGTCTTCAGCTCCTGTCTGTCCGTTAAATATCACCACGAT